TCGGGGGCGCGCCCTTCATGCCGAGTGCGGTATACTCGGCGTCGTCGTCCTCCTCGGGCCCCTCGGCCTCGCCGGCCGCGCCCATCCCCCCCCCGCCCATCGCCCTCGCCCTCCTCGTCTGCCATGGTTAGGTACTCGTCCTCGACGCGCCAGGCGCCAGTCGCCACTGCAGGCTTCGTATTGTTCCCGCTCATCTTATTAATGGCCCGCCCCATATTGGCGGGCGGGTTCTTCCACGCCGGTGATCTCCGACGTCCACGTCGCGCCGTCGGCGAGGATGGCCGCGCGCATCCCCTTCTCGCCAGAGGCCATGTCGAACTCCCTGAGTTCCCCGCTGTCGTCGGTCTCCTCGAGCTTCATTCGGTTGCAGTCCACCTCGCGGACGCTAGTGCGCTTCGGCGAGGGCTTCTCGGCCGCGGGGGGCGTCGGCAAGTCCACGGGCGACTGCTTCCGCGTCAACCTCCTCCTCGTCGCACTCAGGGCTGCGCTCGAGCTCGGGCTCGGGCTGCCCAGGGCAATCGACGCCCTCTTGGTCGGCGTGCGCGGGGTGTCGCTGTGCCCGCACATTTCCGCGATCTCGCTCGCGCTCGGGGGGCCGCGAAGCGCGGGCCCGCGCGCGCCGCTGGCGGGGGCCACCTGCGGCCGAGCATCAATCGGCAGAGTCGGCGCCCCCTCGCGACCGCGTTGCTGCAGCGCGCGGGCGACGGCGGCAATCGCGGGAGCCAGTTTCTTGACGTCCTCATGCATGTAGCAGCGCTGCATCGCCGGCTCCATGGCGTTCGCCCAACTCGCCCGCTCGGGCTTCGGGAGCTCAGGCGAGTGGCCCTTGGCGGCCTTGGCGAGGAGCGGCGCAGGCGCGCGCGGCGCCTGGGCCGCCAAGTCGGCCAAGAAGGCCTTGTTAAGGCGCACCGTCTCCTCGACATCGCTCTGCGCCTGGTAGCGGATGATGCTGAGCGCGTGCGTCTTGCGCAGATCCGTGAGCGCCTAGAGATCGCTGATGCACTTGGCCCTGGGGCACTCGCGCCAGGCGGCCATCTTTTGGCGGGGCAAAAGGGCGCGGCGCGCGGTGCGCGAGCGCTTAGCTTCGAGCCTAAATGTGCATCGGATCCGCGAACAGCCACGGCGACATACCCCCCCCCCCTCCTTCCTCGCGCAGAGGGGCTCCTTAGACGAGGAGCCCCTGGCCGCTGCCTCATGCATATACGAGGAGCCCCATGACCGCTGCCTCATGTAGACGATGTTGGGCCTTGTGATCCGGCAAGAAACATCAATATTTCTCAGAAATACCAGTTGGGCCTTTTTTCTGACACCCATATTGGGCCTCTTGGAAAATCAACCGATCTAAATAAATATGCTTTTGGTTTGCCGAACAAGCCTATCGAAATAAACCGGCTCTAAAAATGGCTCGATTTAGATCACCAAGCTATTCTTAGATAGGCGGATCTAAATAGATCGGCACCGCTCTAAATACACATGAAAAGCCGAAATAGATCGGAAAATATTCCCATGGTAGCTCGGCCCCGATTTAAAAGCTGCCACTCGCAGAAAGCACCGCGCGCGATAGAATCCGCGGGCCGCCCTGTAGACTGCAAGAAGACGCTGGCGCTGCGACCCTGCACTTATGGCCCCCAGCACTACTATTTCGAGCAGCGCGGCCCTGCGCCTTCGAACCTCAAGCAATGCGGCGCAGCGCAAAGCGCCCGCGATGGCTGCGGCAGCGATGGCTGCCATGCGACGCATGCGCGGCGCGCGCCCGGATCAACCCGCAAATTGCCATTGAAATGCAATGTCGACGTTGGGAAAACTAGTTCCTGATTGCAAACGCATTGAAACTACTTTCCCCGACTTAAGACTATGATGTTCTACGTGCTCTACATCGGAGAACTATGTCCCCCTACTTTCTCTATTCCGGATTGATCAACGTGGCTGGTTGTCAAGGCCCCCATGAACGGACATCCAACCTGCCCGCGGGCGTCTCGGGTCCAGCGGCTTCTGCTCAATCCGGCCTGCTCGGCCCGAGCCGTGTCGCACGCCCCGGCAGGGGCAGTTCGGCCAGTCGTGGCCTCGACGCAGCCCAGGGGAGTGCGGGGGAGCCGCCAGAACCTGACTGGTCACCAGACCACCAACCCAAGCCGAAGACCCAAATTTCGTGTTGGGGGGGGACGGGCTTCACATGCGGTTCCGCCCATGTTCCCCGATCCCCCCCCCACTGGAGATGGACGGCAAATCGGGGCCTTCGGGTTGGATTGGGGTGCCTCGGTGGGGAGCGAGTTGCAATTTCGAAAGCGGCGCGGAGTTCTGACAAGAGGTATACCCTTATGCAGTGTTGCACCCGGTGCTCCTCTCTCTTGGAGCGCGTGAATGCGGTCTGACTGCGGCGTCGCTCAATGGCACCGTCCCCGTGGACGTCCACGCCGCGCATCGTCGCCTCAACGGATGGCAGCGCCTGTCCTCTTCTCGGGCTGGCAGCGACGCACTCGAAGGCCAGCGCGTTGTGAAGATAACCGACCCCTGGCGTGTCCCCATGGGTCGCCCCCAGTCGCCGCCACCCATGCGCCCTCGCGCCCCCAAATAGTGATGCCCAAGCGCCGTGCTTTCGCAGCTTGTGCTGACAGCTCTCTCGTCATGCAGGCTGGCGCTGCCTCTCAGCAGGCTGGCAGCTCCGCTGGCGCGCGGTTTCCTCGGTTCCTCCTGGTCCCAAACCCCGTCCCCCGTGCCTGCTCCTGTGGGCCGCCCCGGCTGGCGCTCCAGACCCCAACGTTTGCAGAGCGAGGCAGAGCGAGGCCGATAGGCGCCGCCGCCGCTCCAAAGCAACAGATCAGGAAAACTATCCTCCTCGCGAGCAGTGGTTCCCGGAAGGCCACTACGCAAATGCTAAGATTATGTCGGGCGGATTGTGGAATAGCCAAACAAATCAAAAGCGTATACAAACATCGTTAACACATAATGCATCGTAAAATCGTATCCAATATGTTGTTGGACTATTGTTTAGATACTCCTCCTGTAGAGGGACATGCCCAACTTAATGCTAGGGCTCATCACGCTTCGGCAGAAGGCGGCATCAACGCGCACCTTCGGGCCAGGAGGGCAGGCCTCCCGTACGAGCACGCTCTTCCATACGGCGCTCTGCCAGAGCAAGGAGCGGTCTCCCAGTTCCCCTCGGCTCTTGAGGCGTCTGGATGCGACAAGCCGCCCTAGACAGGACGCGGGAAAGCAACGCGAGCGTGCCTCAAACTCAGTTCAGCCTCCCAGCTGCAAGTCGTGTGCTAGTAGGTCTGGGCCTGGTTCGCGAGCCAATAGTGGCTGGATCCATTGCCGCAAGTGCGTTCCCAACCAGCCCCCAGCGTGCCAGCACTATGGGAATATCTCGCACGATGGCCGCTGGCGCAGGCCCAAGCTGTGCAAAGCAGGCATAGGGATCCAGTGCGCGTCATGACGTATTGAACTCGCACTCCCGCAAACGCAGGATGTCCAGATTCCTTGGTTCAATTGTAGATAGCAAGGCCAGCTTTACTCTGGTCCTCCACTGTTCAGTGCCTGCTCAGTCGTTTGCAGATTGGACTCGGCTTTCTGTAGGTCTCTCCAGGTTCTCTGCTTGCGGGTTCCACATTACAGCGTTCGCTATGCGGCTTCCGTTGTCTGTGTTGCACGATCGCCCTCGGCCTGCGCTTGCAAGGCCATGTTTTCAATCAAGCAATGCGTAGTCGAGGCTGCCCGTCATTGCACTTGTCTCTATGTTGCTCCCAGCTCGTGTGCGCGTCGGCTGTTCACCTCTGCATTGCAGGATGTCTTGCTTAACTGCCGCCCAAGCAGTGGCGGCATACGAGCTGGTAGCCTGTCACTGCGTGGGTGGTCTCTGGCCAACTCGCCAAGTTGCAATTGCAGTGATCGGATCTGCTCCCTTCAGTCTCCCCTCCCCTCCCAGCTGGGCAGGCGCTTGCCATCTCTGGCCTTCTAGCCTCCCATGCCTCCCCGCCCTGGCTGCCTGGTTCTTTATGGAACGCACAAAGGCATATTAGTACTATACGCTCGACTTGGAGGCATGCGTCCGACCCGAACGTGAAAGTATAACCCTCTTGTAATCGATGGTTTCCCGAGAGGTCTGGCCAGAAAGCACCTGCCACGGAGTTTTATACTAGAAGGCTGAATCGGTGCGCGCGTCACCCATGGTGGGGCGACGCACATATAGTACTAGTACGTCGGTAGGACGCCGACTTCACTTTCCGAATTGAAGCGTGCAGCTCTCAATCGCGGCAGTGGCCGCCTTTTGTCCCAGCTGCGATGCCACACCTTTCTGTTTCTCGCCTGCCTGGGTCAGGGGCGCTCGCCCGTAGGATTGTTCGACAATCGAGCACGCTGACCTCGACCATACCGCCGTACCGCCGTTCGATCGATCGAAAACCCTCCCCCCGCGGGGGAAAAACGTCGCTGCCAGGCCATGGCGCTCCGCACTACGCGAATGCGCTGCTGAAGTTTGAAGACATTTGGTCAACCGGTCAATGGTTATTCGCCGATCCAGGTCACCCGATGCGCGCTCCTCGTCACAGTCGAGCTTCTGAGTCGAGACAGGCTAAGGTGCGCATCCCCCCCGGATAAAACCTGAACGCGCACGCCTTACGTACAGGACGAGGCTCGGTGAGTCGCAAGATAGCACACAGTGCCGCACATGACGTCAAACGACCATGCTGGCGAAGCAAGAAGCATGCGAGCAGCAATTGCACAGCGCCCGCAGCACGCATGCCAAAATCACACTCTGGAAAGTCATTGGCAAACCATACAGGTTCGGTGGCAACTCTTCGGAGCCTTCTATACCATCTTGTCGGCTCTTGAGAATCGACGCAAATCGACGCTACATCGACGCTAGCTGACGCTAAATCGGCGCTATCCCCATCGACTCCCAGACGCTACTCGACGCTAATCGGCATTAAGACGGAATCCAGATGGTAGACCAGGCTCCCATGATTTGCTACCGAATACAGGTATGGCATGATGGCGGTGTCCTTGGTAATAGTGATATGGCGCGCAGCCAGCATCACTTCGTTGACGCCTTTCACCTGGCACGCAAAGCGGACTCCACGGACCAGCCACTGTCGTGGCAAGCGTCAGACCAGCACACGCGCACCCCAGAACTGCCCACTACCAGCCACGAGCACGCGCACCCACGAGCACGAGCACGCGCACCCCAGAACTCCACACTACCCCACTACCCACTCCCCACACACGCGCACCCTCGCCACGAGCACGCGCGCACATGCTGCTGCCCTTGCCGCAGTCAGAATTCGCCAGCCCCCGCTCACCATCGGGGTCGCGCAAACATGGATTAGCGATCCATGGATTTGGCGCGCGGTCGCCAAATCCATGGATCGGGGGAGGTGCCCTCCCCAAATAAATGCGGCCGGCGCCGCCTCGCTCGGCGGCGGAAATCCGCGAATCCCCGTGGAAACGGGACCCGTCGCTGATCCACCCCACCTTTGATCCATGTTTGCGATCGCCCGACACCAGGGCGAAAGTAACTGCGAGACATTTGACTCTCCCCCTCGCCCTCTACTCCTCTCAGGGGGGCGTAAGACCCGGGTACAGGGGACTCGGAAATCCCCGACGAGGTCGTCAAAAAATGACGAGGCCGAGCCTGCATTTTGACGAGGCCTCCCGCTGCAGACATCCCACGAAACTCCTACTCGTCAAATCCGAGTCGCGGTCGTCAAAAAACGATGGCGAACCCGAGTCCTGGCAAACCCAGGTCTTACGCTCCCCCGATCCTCCCCCTGGGGCCAGAGTCCCGCTGGTGTGGGGGGGCGATCGACGGGGGAGGGGGCGGGGCGGCGGCGCGGCCTCTGGGGCCCCCGGAGCCTCCGACGTCCAGCCGGCGTCGCCTCCAAAGATGCCCACGACACCCTTCGAGACGGCCGCGGCCGCTGGGGCCCTCGGAGCCTCCGACGTCCAACCGGCGTCGCCTCCGAGATGCCCACGACGCCTTGCGAGACGGCCCCAGAAAAGCTCCAGCATGCCTTGGCGGCGCGCAGAGGGGGGTAGGGGGAGGGGGGAAGGCTTCTTAGAGGCACCCCTGCTTCATTTGTCATGTGATGTCAGAGGGGTGCGGGCCTTCTCTGTAGATGTGAGGCCGGCGCCTTCTAAGAAGCAGCCTCCTTCTAAGAAGCCTTCCCCCCTCCCCCTACACCCTTCTGCTCGCCGCCAAATGCCGGCAAAGCCTCAGCATCGCCCAAGATCGCGTCAAGACGGCCCAGAGCGCTCCCGAGACGCCCCTAGGAGGGTTCCAGGTCGGCCCCAGAGAAAGCTTTCAGAGGCAAAAGACAGACTATGCCCTCATGTGTTCCAACTGTTGACAGGATGTCGTTTTCCCGCGGATCTCTGTACGCTCAAAAACTGCCCGACGTGCCCCCCAAACAGGCACAAGACGGCCCAGGAGAGCCCAGACACGGCCCAACAGGTCCCCAAAACGGCCCTGTAGAAACCCAAGGGCACCTTAAGAGGAGCCCAAGAGAGGGAACTCCAAGAAGCCACGGTGGCCCTCCCCGACGAGATGGCCCAGAAGACCCCAAACATGCCCCCGAGATGTTTCCGAGAGGCTCCGCAAACGGCTCAAGAAGGCCCACAAACGCCACCCAGGACCTCTGAAAAGTATCCCAAGAGCCCAAGAGGCCCCACCCAAGGACTCCAAGGAAACGCCCCCCCCAAAAAAAGGCAACGCCGTCTCTACCAGCTTCCGAACACAGGATCGCCCAAGAGGCCCTCCAGACCATCCCAAGACGGCCTAAGAGGCCGCGAGACAGATCTCCACGACGACCACTCAAAGCGATAACTTAGCTGGAAGCGAATTCTGGGTTCGGTCACCTCCTGGCCCACGTAGGACTCACCCCCCAAGGAGACCCCAAGGAAGGGCCCAACACTGAGACGGTCATCCTGCTCACTCCATCTCTCCTCATTCCCTCTCTGCCCCTCCTGGGCAACACATCGAACTTCCTCATTATCCTGCCCTCTACAATGCTCAGGCAACACGTGCGACCCAAACTACGTTCGTGTCGTCCCATCTCTGAGGTTGGCAGAAGCCTCTTGAATGTAGAACTCATGAGAGGGTGCCGCAACATGCCCTCATCATGCTGAACAGCAAAAACAAAATGTGAAGCATGAAAGGCCGCTGCAACTTCAACAACAGCGCAACCGTCTTCGTCATCCTCCTCCGCATCATCTCGTCAAGGGTAGTCAATGCCTAACCTAGCAGAGGGGGTGGGGAGGGGGAACCACCTGAGTGAAGCGAGAACAGCTAATAATCACGCTCGGGAAACTGAGGAGAGGGGCGCGACTAACTGCTCCTCAGCATGCACTGGCGATCAAAAGGCAACGGCTGCAACACCGCCAGCCTTGAATATGGCAGCGGCAAGCTGTGAGTCGGCAGTGTCGTACCTTCCAGGGTGAATGATAGAACACGGCGAAACACAAAATCCGGAGAAGCACAATGAGACAGATCCTGAGACACGCAATGAGAATCACAGAAACCCTGAAAAAAGGATCGATACGAGCTGGAACCACCATGATTTCTGCGTATACCAATGATTTCACTGCGGGGGGGGGGTGGGGGGGCGGCACGAAAGAAGAGGGGGGGAGGCAGGGGTGCACCTAAAGGCGGGGTAAGGGTGCTGCTGCTGATGATGGTGGCGATGAAGAAGAAGAGGATGAGGATGAGGATGAGGATGAGGATGAGGATGAGGATGAGGATGAGGATTGAGGATGAGGATGAGGATGAGGATGAGGATGAGGATGAGGATGAGGACGAGTGTCGCTCGCTCGATCTGTCGGGCCGGGTTCGGGGGCATGGCCGTGTGGTGGTCACTTTGTTGCAGCCTAGGGGAGGCCCCGCGAAAGACAAGCGGCGCTGATCCCATCGCGCTACGCAGCACTGATCACCTTGCGGAAGGACCAGACGAAGAACACAACCAGCAGCAGAGGGTGAGCAGATGGCGGTCACCGTCTGTCCGGCGTGACGGAGAGAGGGTCCTGGTGGAAACGGGCCCTGGACACCGGGCCTGCCACCCGAAGCGTTTTTGTCCAAGCAAGCGCTCGCGAACCGCCCCCTCTTCCTTTCTGGGAACTCGATGAACGCTCGTCGTGCTGGATGCCAGCTCCATCGTCTCGGCGGGGCCTGTGACTCACGAGTGCCACGTGGTCGTGATGATCAGAAGGGATCATTTGACGGACGCTGCACCGCCACTGACTGGCATAAGAATGCGTTGGCAAAAACCCACAAGGCAAAAATCGAGCACAAAAGGGGGGGCATGGGCTCCCAGGCGAGACCGACTCTACAGCGTGACTTTCCGCGGCAGGGGTGAACCCAACCTGATCCTGAAGTAACAGCTGCAAACTGTCCAATGACAGGCGTGATAACCTGACTACATCCGCGCGCGCGCCACGCGCGTGTTTGGGTTTTAGTCGACATCGCAGCCAGAGTTGGCGGATGTCTCGAAATTCATGTATATACATGTGTATTCGGATGTATGTACAACTATGCGGCTCGCATACAACTTTAACGCGCGGGACACAATTCTGCAGCGTAGCTCTCCGCGGCAGGGGGCAATCCGACCTGATCTGAAGTCAACCGTTGCAAGGTCCAGCTCTTATATGCGCCACCGTTATGCGAAGCAGCACGGTCTGACCCACAGGGTCTCGTGCCTCTCACCGGGCGCGCCCACCTGAGTGCGCAGGCGCAAGGAACAGCTCGTTCTAAAACCGCAGCATGGATCCAATACGGATGGCGTGCAACTGAGCACTACCGCCACCGATGCTCAGGACACCTGCATCGCGCCAGCGTGGCTGCAACCAAGCGAATTCGGCACCCGGGCAGCCCCAAAGAAAATGTGCCCTGAGACATGCCACTGGACTCGCGGAGGGGTGCCGCAGCGGCTCTGCGAGTGCGCGATAGATTCCGTGGATCGCCCCGTTGGGGGCGCGGCCCCAAAAGGCACCGAATCGCTACAGAATCACCGCCAGACGCTCATCGCGAACCTCTAAGGGGCCCGCCAAGATCGGATCGGAACGAAGCCGGCGCTAGATGGGGATCGACAAGGCCGAGAATGTGCAAGTAAAGCTGACGTGCCCCTGCGAAACAGAAAAACATGGCTATCTGGCTCTTGATTCTCTACTCGCACGCGCATTGACGTCGGCCGCAACCCATCTCCGCCCGCCTGTGAATTGTGCGCGTGTCCGGCGTTGAGCGCCTCGTGACTGCTCCTCGACAGGAAGAGTCGCTTCGTCAGCCTCCCCAGCTATCCTCTGTCGCAAGTGGTGCTTCAGCGTGCCCACGACCAGAAAAGTTGATCAACGCGCTGTTGGCACTCAATGCACTGGTCACCAAACATGGCGGTCATGTCGTTCTCTTCTTGACAAAAGGCGACAGCCACATCCATGCACCCATGCACCATCGCAAGGAAAGTACACGGCTCCACGTGAAGACCGAGGTGATGTAGAACCAGGACACGAAAGCCAACGCGATGGGGTGGTGGACCATCCCGCACGCCATGCGGTCCGTGAGCGGTGCATTTAGGCCGTGCAGGACGGAGTCGCCAGGCAAGCCCTCCTTTTGCTCTGGCACAACGGTGCGCACCCCTGGCGGTGCTAGGGCTTCGGCGACGCTGCAATCGCGGTCGAACGCCGCGCGCACACCCGTATGCTCGAATAGGTACGCCGAGGCCCCGCTGTACAAAATAAACACAAAGGCGCAGATCGTCGCGATGTTGAAGAGCACCTGGTACTGGCTGAGATCGTAGATCAGCGGGTACTCCGTGAACGCCGACTGCCAGAGCATGAATAAAAGAAGGGGTGAAGCTGCACCAGAAACGAACACACACAAGGAGTACGCGTTGCCGACAGACGGGGCAAGCCTCTTCTTAGTCGAGATCCTGGCACAGTACGAGTGCCCCAGCGCCCACGAAAAGAACCAGAACACGTTCAGCGCGATCTTCCCCACCTGACTGCCCACGATGGGGACACAGCACAGCCTCATGCCGCACGCGCCGCAGTCGATGCTTCTCATGAAGCTCTTATCCAAACCCTGGTTCCGACACATCATCATGACTGGGGTGGCGAAACCCACAGCGCGCAATAAAGCCGTGACGCCAAATGTCTCAAACAGACAACCTGTGGCATGCGGCGCGTTCCAAGCACGGATGCGCGCGCGCCCCTGGGAAACCGCGCTGGGGTTGACGATGGTGGCGGGACCTTGCGCCGGCGGGACCTGAGCCAACATGGCTACGGAGCCACCCTGAATCGTTCCTTGACGGTCCTGGGTCCTTCCAGGGCCCCGAGAAGCGAAAACCGTAAAAAGAGTGGGGCCGCACACAAAGTACACCAAGGTCTGCGGGCCTTCGCCCGAAACTCAGTGCGCGTACAGTCGAGGCGTTGACCTAAGGAACCCTAAATAAGGAACGAGGCCCCTTTTACCCATGAGTTCAACCTCGATTTCCTATGGGAAACCTCAGGAAAGCCCGAGGCAAACTTTGAAACAATCAAGGAACACCGAGCCCCTCCCCAGCGAAAAGCGTTCCTTCTTCAGCGCCCCGACTGTATGTTGATGAACGTCACACGCTCACGAACCTGCCCCGAAGAGTGTCAACTATACTATGCGCGGTGGCGGTGGCGATCATAGTATCGTGGCTGCGCTCCAAGACCCGAAGAAGCCTCCCATTTCCCCAAAGGCCCTCTGCCAGGGGAAGCCCAAAAGGCACCGACACAGCTAATTTCTCCCCGGACCTCTCCCAGGGTGCGTTCTGACCAGCAGTTCGGGGCGAATCCGAAGGTGGCGACGAGGGCCTCCCAGGAGGCCCAACAGGAGGAAAACGGGGCAAGGGTAGCGGTATGGGTACCTTTTTTCCTCCCCCGACGTGCCTGAATGCGAAAGCGCGCCCGCGGCAGCCACGAAACCGCGGCGGCAGTGCTCGGCGCCTGGGCGCCCTCCTCCGGCGGTGCTGCCGCGGGGCCAGAAGCCACGCGGGCCCGCGGCCCGTCGGAGAGAGGCGCCGCGCCCCCGCCATCGAGAGCGGCCGCGCGGGGAGCCTGAGGACGCAAGACGCCCAAGAACAGCTCAAAGTAGGAGAAGGAGGATGGAGGAGGAGGAGGAGGAGGAGGAGGAGGAGGAGGAGGAGGAGGAGGAGGAGGAGGAGGAGGGAGGAGGAGGATGGAGGGGGAGGAGGAGGAGGAGGAGGAGGAGGAGGTCGAGGAGGAGGGAGGAGGAGGAGGAGGAAAAGGAGGAGGAGGAGGAGGAACGGGCAAAGGATGCCAGGGCCGCTAAGGGCGTGGACGCTAGAGGTGCCAATGAAGCCCAGATGAGGGCGAACGTTCGGGGGGAACCAGCTGAGTGGGGGGAGTCTTCGACCTGGAATCGGCGATGCACCGCCGATTGATCGGCGATAGGTTCTCGATGAGCATCGAAACCACACGTTCCCAGCCGCGGTGGGCGATCAGGATCTCATCGGCCATGAGTAGTCGATCGGGGGTCGACATCAATCCACTCCCGCCTGAGCCTATCCCCCCCTAACGTTACCCCTGACCAGAACACAGGGATGTAAGGATCCCTCGCTTCTTGCGCTCATCCTTACGACTGGTTATCACGTTACACCAGGGGACGCAGGAGAACGAGGGGGCGGGACGCAGCCTGGTGGACGAGCTCCGCGCAACCTGCAGCAGCCCGCCCTGGGCCGTGGCCACTGCCAGTCACCATTACCGCGATCATCAGCTCGGCTCTCCGCGATGAGGTGGAGGTGGAGGAGGAGGCGAAGGAGGAGGAGGTGGAGGAGAAGGAGGAGGAGGAGGAGGAAGCAGGAGGAGGAGGAGGCAGGAGGAGGAGGAGGAGGAGGAGGGAGACGTGGAGGAGGAGGAGGAGGAGGAGGAGGAACATTGAGGAGGAGGAAGGAGTGCGAGATATGTTTCCACAGCAAGCGCACGACATAAAGCTCGACTCGAGAAATAGGTCGCCCCCAAACAATTCTGGACAAGAGAAACAGAATGCGTGACCAGGAAGCTGAAGGCCCAGAAAGGAATGCGTCCAGGAAGCTCGAAGGCCCAGAGAGGAAGGGAGGGGGGGAGAAGGAGGCCGACAGGCAAGACGAAGCGCAAGGGGGGAATGGTTGGCCCCGTCCGCCCACGTCACCCTATCGCCCACGCCTGCGATCATTTACACATGCTGTCGACACGACGTTGGTTCCTGAAAGTCCTGTGATAGTACAACAGCAGCTAGGAAGCTGAGGATAAGATGGTGAGCTTGTCATGACGTGCTACCCGTGATAAAACTACGAACTCTTCATACTATGTTCGGATCTCAAGCAGACCTGGGAAACTACCCCCGAAGATCTCACACCAGAAGGCAGGGTGGCCGTGGAGGCCCCTTGAGGTCTTCAGAGGTCCCCAAAGGCTCCCGGCAGGGCCAAATCCCGCTCTGCTCGAGCGGGCCAGGCGGTCTCGGGCTGGGGCCCGCGGTGCTCGTCAAAGCCAGGCCCTGGGCCTGCCCGCCGAGCCGGCCATTCACCTGTAGCGAAGCGCGGAGAGGGTCGCTTGTTGTTGAACTTGATAGTCTTCATGCCCGACCCGAGCACCTGCGCGAGAGGAGGAGGAGGAGGAGGAGGAGGAGGAGGAGGAGAAGGAGGAGGAGGAGGAGGAGGAAGAGGAGGAGGAGAGCGAGAGAAGACCCGTGGAGCTCAGCGGAGCGCTGCTGCACCGCGGCAGAATGTGGGGAGCACACACGACAACTCCGCTTGGCGTCGGTCCCGCAGTTGCGCGGGCCGCCCGGCATCCTCGCAGCCAGCGCCCGCGAGATGAGGTACCAGGAAAGCACGCGCGAGGGCGCGCCCGAGGATCAGTGGAGGCAGGAAGAAGACTCGACAGAGGGCTCCCCCGAAGGGAGGCAGGCTGAACGCACAGTAACAGAACGCCAGGCCACAAGCAGAGAGGGAACTGGGACGAGGGTAGAACGGAAGGGGCAGAGGAGTGCGAAGAGGAATGGGAGGAGGAGTGGGACGGACCATGAGGGGGTGCGACGGGCAAAAGCGGAGACGCAGGAAACGAGACACGGAAGGTCACGGACGAGGCAGGAGAGGAACCCATCAAAGAAAATGCGACGTGGCACTCACTGGACACAAGCAAAACACTGAAAGTTTCCTTGACGGCATAGAGCGCTCCGACCGAAGGACCCCAATCCTCACTTGGGACCCTCTTGGACCAACTTGGGGCCCTCTTGGGGCCTCTGGAGCCATCTTGGGGCGGTCTGGGGGGCCTCTGAGGTCGTCAAGGGCAGTACGAGGACCAAAAATGCGAATGCGCACAAAATGTACGTTTGATACAGCACCCAGCAGTCGCAGATAAGAGTGAGAGGGCGGCGGGGACGTCGGCAGCCTGCAAGGCTCTGAAGAAGACCGCCGAAGGCGCCTAATTTTTCCAAATGATACAACGAGCCCGCCGCAGGCGCCGATTTTTCGTTAAAGCAATGTGGGTGGGACGCGGGGTGGGTCGCGGGCCATGTCGCGGGTGGGTCGCGAGCCGGGTCGCGGGTGGGTCGCGGGTGGGTCGGGGGTGGGTCGCGGGCGGGTCGCGGGTGGTTCCGGGCGAGTCGCGGGGCGGATCGCTGGTGGGTCGCGGGGTGGGTCGCGGGATGGGTCGCTGGTGGGGCGCGGGCAGGTCGCGGGCGGGTCGCGGGCCGGGTTGCGGGTGGGTCGCGGGCCGGGTCGCGGGGGGGACGACGCCAAACAACGTCACCAAACGACGCGACAAACAAACAAACAAATACATACACATACACATACACATACACATACACATACACATACACATACACATACACATGCACATGCACATACACATACACATACACATACACATACACATACACATACACATACACAAACAAACACACACACAACAACAAGAGCAATAACAACAACAACAACAACAACAACAACAACAACAACAACAACAATAACAACAATAATAATACTCCGAATCGCTGAGTTCCACTTCAGCCACGCACCCAGGGACAGTGAATGACCGTTCGGCCCCCATCACTCTTACAAAAAGAATGGGGCGATGTTTGCTTGTCGAGGCCCTCTTTGGAGACCGCCTGGAGGGGTCTTCAAGCGTCTCGGACGCCTCAGAGGCCGTTCGACACGCCTCGTGAGCCGTCTGATACCCCTGGAGGCCGTCTTGAAGGTGGTTCGCTACTGTCTTAAGGGCGCCGTGACGCCCGTCGGACCGCTCTCCCGGGGGCTTGTGAGATCCTCAAAGACGGGCCCGGCCCCCGGGCAACCCATTTCTGGTAGAGGTTATCGCCCCCGGGCCCCTGGGCCCTGTCCCCCGTTATATGTATGTCTGTCTGTCCCTGTCTGCCTGCCTGCCTGCCTGCCTGCCTGCCTGTCCATCTGCCTGTCTGTCTGTCTGTCTGTCTGTCTGTCTGTATATGTCTGTCTGTCTGTCTGTCTGTCTCTCTGTCTGTCTGTCTGTCTGTCTGTCTGTCTGTCTGTCTGTCTGTCTGTCTGCCTGTCTGTATATGTGTGTATGTCTGTCTGTCTGTCTGTCTGTCTGCATGTATGTGTTCTGTATGTATGTATGGGTGTCTGTCTGTCTGTCTGTCTGTCTGTCTGTATGTGTGCATTTCCGTTTGTATATATATATATATATGTATGTATGGTTGTACATCTACAGATATGTCTGTGTGTATGTATAGGCATAGGTAGTTGAAAATTAATACATTATATATATGTATATATACACACACGATTACAAGTCCTTCCTGGGGCAACGGCGGGGATGGCATATTCGTATGTACGCGACAATTGCTGTACGACTTCATGCATCGACCGCTCACAGCTGTCAGGCCTGGTGCTTCCCAGGGTAGAACATGACCGAGTCAGGGTTGGGAGTCGGTTCAGATATGACCTCACCCACGCGCCGCAACCCCATCCAATCATCAGGAACATTGCACTAGGATCCGAATAGGAGGCGAGAGCAATAGTTTGGATTGCCTGCTGCTGCGCATCGAAAGACAATGGCGATGCACCATAGCAGTCACAAGCGCGCGAAGAATCATACCCCGAGTTTCTGATACGACGAAGCGCACGATCAAGCATGGGCATACTGCTGGATCTGACCAAATCAGACTGGGCGAGCCACAAGAAGTCCACACTGCGGTCCAACCCCCGCATGAATCCCAATCAGAAAACGTCGAGGTCAACTTCGTGAGCAAAAAACTGGGCATGAAATGCTTTTCGGGAAACGATGGTACACGCACGAGGCTGACATGAGAAATGTGGTGCGCAGCAGGCTGTGGATGCCACTGCACTGTAAACGGTGGTCAATCAGGAAAGTGGTTCCTGCACGTAGAATCGGATCATGGAGCTTCACAACATCAGCGACAATCAACGACAATATTCCCTGAATGCTCTCCCAACAACAGTACCTCCACTGTCGAGCCACAAGCGCTAAACTCGATAATGCACAAACACATAACACAAATACAGAAGTGGCCTGCATCAGCCCAAACGTGCGTTCGCGCATGTAGTAAAGACGATGCAGACATGGAAGACGCCGGAAAAGCGGGTAGTTGCTTCCATTACGCTGGAAGCCGGGAGTCTGGATATGCCACGGTATAAAACAGGTGACTTGAAAACGTCAAGGTCAGATTCGCGCACGACCGCTTGCGATTGCACAAGTTTCAAGAAACACTGGCGTCTGGGTGATCTGGGTGTGAAACCATTGGCGGGGCAGACCTTACTGTTTCGATATATAGCACCCCGCAGTCGCGGATAAGAGTGAGGGGGCGGCGGGGACGTCGGTAGTCTGCGAGGCTCTGAAGAGGACCGCCGAAGGCGCTTAATTTTTACAAATGATGCAACGAGCCCGCCGCAGGCGCCGACTTTTAGTTAAAGCAACGTGGGTGGGTGGGTCGAGGGCGGGACGCAGGCAGGTCGCGGGGGGGTCGCGGGCGGGGTCGCGGGTGGGTCGCGAAGTGGGTCGCGGGTGGGTCGCGGGTGGGTCGCGGGGTGGGTCGCGGGGTGTGTCGCGGGGTGTGTCGCGGGCCAGGTCGTGGGTGGGTCGCGGGTGGGTCGCGGGTGGGTCGCGGGCGGGTCACAGGGTGGGTCGCGGGGTGATCGTGGGTGGGTCGCGGGTGGGTCCCAGGGCGGGTCGCGGGGTGGGTCGCGGGCCGGGCCACGGGGGGGACGACGCCGAACAACAACAATCATAAACAACAAACAACAAACAACAACATCACCAACAACAACAATCACAAATAATAACAACACAAACAACAACAGCATCAACAACAACAATCATGTTAAGACTGTTCGCCCTCTTTTCTTCTCGAGTGTTCAATAACGCCTATTTCCCACACCCTCGATACCCGCCCTCTTCGTCTTCGATCGAACCCCTTTGGGGGGTATACCTTTCTTCCCTACAGGCCGGGCCCCGGCAAGCGGCGGGGCGGCCGCGGACCGTCGGCCTGGCCAGCGGCAGCGCTGATCGGCGGGGCGGCCGCGGACCGTCGACCCGACCCCAAGAGGGACGGACAGGGGACCGACGACGACGACGTCGACGACGACGGCGACGACGACGACGTCGACGATGACGGCAACGAGCGAAAGCGAGAGCGAAAGAGAACGACAGCAGGGCCACAAGGACACGCAGTAGGCCACGAAGGGCAACAGCGGGGACACGAAGGGAATGCGTATGGGGCCACGAAGAGCGCGAACGAGCGGGGGCCACGAAGGGCAGATAATGCGGGGCCACAGAAGGCAACGATAGGGCCACAGAGGGTAGCAACTGGGCCACGTAGGACATATATGCATACGGGGCCACCACGGGCGCGAAGGAGCGGGGGCCACGAAGGGCATACATATATGGGGCAACGAAGGGCAGCGAGGGGGCCACGAAGGGATGCAACGGGGCCACGAAGGGCAGCGAGGGGGCCACGAAGGGCTGCAACGGGGCCACGAAGGGCTGCAACGGGGCCACGATGGGCAGCGAGGGGGTCACGAAGGGCTGCAACGGGGCCACGAAACAAAGCGAGGGGGCCACGAAGGACTGCAACGGGGCTACGAAGGGCAGCGAGGGGGCCACCACGAAGGGCTGCAACGGGGCCACGAAACAAAGCGAGGGGGCCACGAAGGGCTGCAACGGGGCCACGAAGGGCAGCGAGATCCCGATCCCTATGTAATCAGTGAGGGAGTCCTAAGCGTGAGTGCGACTCCTGGGTGCCTGGGTGTCGGGAGCGCGGCGCTTGAGTAAACTACAGGAAATTCCAACGCAAGGGCGCTATTCTTCAGCAAATCCCAAGCAAGTCTCCAGCGAGAGCGCGACTCCAGAGCGCCGGGAGAATAAATTCTAAAGAAGCCCCAAGCGAGAGTGCAGTCCTGAACAAAACGCGAGGAAGTCTCGGGCGGGAGCGGGGGTCCTGGCTAAATTGTGAGGACGTCTCAGACGGGAACCGTTGTTGTTGTAAACCAGGGGCCAACGACACAGTTTGACCCTCAATACTTTTCCGGATAAAAAAACAGAGTGCGAGCCCCGGGAAGGGCACTTCAAACGAAAAAAACAATGTGCACCAGACGGGGGGGATAAACAACAACTATTCTTCAGAAGTGAGAGTTCAACAACAACAACCTCAACAACCTCAACAACAACAACAACAACAACAATCACTTTACCCGAACGCTCAGTGTTCTCACCAGTGCCAGGGTTTTCATGCGACGCCAGCCAATACCCCCACTTTGTGGGGGGGCAGTGCAAGCTCTACCAAATATCCACACGACTCTTCGCCACCACCCACACCCAGCTTCCCGCCCTATGACGTTCGGACACTTCACTTCGTGGCCTGCGGACGACCGTGGCTACTACACTGGCGTGGAGTACACACCCACAGAAGTTGTTAAGCCTACGTTCGTACACCCACAGAAGTTGTTAAGCCTTGTTAACCCACAGAAGTTGTTAAGCCTTCCACAGAACATCTGTTGCATATGATGCATATGGTACATGATACACATAGGGGGACGTTTTATTCTCGGCGGCCGAGGGCGCAACCTATGGCGCAACCGCAAGGGATTGTGGCCCCTGGCAGGCGCGCGAACCCCGTTGCAAGAGCGTGCGAAAGTAGCTCGCGCGAGCTCATGTAACATAAATGTTGGAAAACCATTGGTTTTTTTTAGGATTCGGACAGCGCGCGCGGGTAGAAATTTTGAAAAGTCGTGCAGGTGTTTTTCGAGGACCTACGGTGCGATTCGTGTGATTTTATGATGCGCGGTGCTAAAATTCTTAAGAAGCCCAATGGTTTTTGGAGATTTCGGCGTGCGCGCGCGAAGAAAAAACGAATGTGTCCCGCATGGTATTATTTGACAGGGATGATGGCCCTGGCAGGTGCGCAACCGTTGTCGCAGAAGTTCGAAAAAGTTGCTCGCAAAAGCCCGTTTGACAGAAATGTTTAAAAAGTGTTGGGTTTCCTACGAATCCGCAAGAGCGCGCGGGATGAGATTTTGACATTTTTTTGTTGAAAAACCATTGGTTTTTTGATGTTTTTATGTTAAAATCGCTGCGAACACTAAGGTTTTGGAAGGATTTCGTCTTGCGCGCGCGAATGTCCACTTTACCTTATTTTTTGCAAGGGATTCTTGAAATTTGATTATATTAGAACAAGAAATGTCATTTTATAGTGTTTTTTGCAAGGGAAAGCGGGGGGGAACAAAACAACCGGATCTTGATCACATCGAATTACCTGAGGCTTCCTCACGAAAATGATGAAAATGTAGCTGCGGCCTAGGCGGCGCAGGGGGGCCGTGCACCAGGGGTCCCAACAATAATTATTCTTTAGAATTAATAATGTTCAACAACAACAACAACAACAACAACAACACCACCAAGAACAATAACAATTACTACAACAACAGCAGCAACAGCAGCAGCAGCAACCACAACAACAAGAAGAATCTGCATCGCGAAATCCAACTTCAGCCACGCACCCAGGGATAGTTAATGACCGTTCGGCTCCATCACTCTGATAAAGTCCTGGTGATCCGCGCTGCAGACAGGAAAGGACTCCGAGGGCTCCCGACGAAAATCTCGTGGGCACAAAAGTTCCTAAAAAAAGTGCTGGATCGGTGGTGCTAAACTCAAAAGGGTATTCGAGGGGAGCCGAAGGTCTCCAACGAAGCGCACCCGTAAGTGGATTCACATGCAACGTTCTGGAGTCCTGCACTTGGTCCTCTCCCTGATGAGCCCAAAAGACTACGACAGCGATGCTGTGTCTAAGAGGTCTCACGCTGAAGAACCTAGGAGCCGATGCACTCCTCAAGCTGATCCATGGTCCTGCCGCCAATGACCCTCAGCTTCGTCAGACCTTCGGCGCGGCTTCCCAGATGCGACACATCGCAGTGGCATCGCCAGAGTCACACAGTCGGGGCGTCGACCTAAGGAACCCTAGATAAGGAACGAGGCCCCTTTTCTCCATAAGCTAAACTTCGATGTCCCATCGAAAACATCAGGAAAACCGGAGGCAAGCTGTGAAACACTCAAGGAACGAGGAGCCCCTCCCCAACCAAAAGGGCTCCTTCTTCAGGGCCCCCCCTGTGGCCACTTAGTCAGTGATATCCCAGCTCTGGCTTCGCCGCGCTTCAAGACCCGCCCCGCGCGGAGGCGGACCGCCCGGGGTCTCTGCCCGTGCTGACTACCTACCAGACCACCCCAACCCAACCCGAAGACACGAATTTGACCCGAATTTCGGGTTGGGGGGGGTACGGATTCCATGTGCTTTTTCAATGTTCCCCGACCCCCCCCCCCACTGGAAATGGAGGGCAAATTGAGGGCTTCGAGTTGGGTTGGGGTGGTTTGGTGGGTGGTGACGTACTTGGCACCCGCGCACCGGAGCCCAGCTCGAGCACCGTGCGCGGCCTACGCGGAAAGCCCGAAGGGAGAGATGCGCTACAGTCGGGGCGTTGACCTAAGGAGCGATAAATCAGGAACGAGGCCCCATTTTCCCGTATACATATATATATACATATATATATATATATATATATATATATATATATATCAATCTCCGATTTCCCATGGAAAAACTCAGGAAAACCCACAACGATAAGTAAGGAACGGGACCCCTGTTTCCCATATATCAAGCTCCGATTTCCCATGGAAAAAAGCTCAGGAAAACCCAAGGAGCACTGTAGAGCAACTAAGGAACACGGAGCCACTCCCCAACAAAAAGGGTTCCTTCTTCAGGGCCCCGACTGTAAGACGAAAGACCAGGACACAATCGGATCGGGCCGAATCGGTGATCTCTGCGATCCCGCGGTTCTGGAGGTGAGCGTTTCCTTACTCGGCCTTTCGACATTGGGCCGCAAGGGGGGCA